TCTGCCTGGCTGGCCCCTGGGGCCTTTCAGCAGACCTGGGAGTGCAGGAACAGTGCAGTTGGTGATGGGGAGGGAGTGAAGTGTCGGGGGCACAAGCCTGGCCATGGGCCGTCCCCCCAAGGGCCTGTGAGGTGTGATATTGGCCCCTATATGTTCCAGACACTCACAGAGGCTGCCTTCTCTTTAACCTTTGCGAGTCCCTTCTCTTCTTGGTGACATTCGTCCCACTGCCAAGAGAGCTTGGCAAGGCTTGGCAGCGTGCACACTTGCGGTGACCGCTAACCTTGGCGTGTCCTGTGCGCTGATGAGTGTCCGCAGCAACACAGAAGGCGGCTTTTATGATGTGCTGCAGAGGCTGGGGACAGCCGCGTCCATAAAACAAATCATCCTTGAAGGGAAGAAGAGGAGGAGGAAGACAGGACAGGACGTCGGTGCCATGGCTCCTGTCATACCCGGGGCCCGGGGGACAGCGACACACTATGCACCCAGCACTGTGGACAGATATGTGCATGGATGCATGAATTAGGGATTGCCCTGGGTGTCTGTCGGGGTGTGGTTGTTTATGTGTGTGCAGGTATGTACATGTGTGTGTATATGGGCCTGTGTGTACCTGTCTGTATTAGTATGTGTATAAGTATATATGTAAATGGGTGTGCAAGTGTGTACACAGGGATGCATATTCACATATATATGTATATGGGTGTGTATGTGTGTAAATAGGTATGTATATATATGTGTGTGTATATGTATATGGGTATTTGTATGTGTGTAAATGAGCGTGCATGTGTACATGGGTATGTAAGTGTATGGGGTGTGTGTATAAATATATGTATCTGGGTGTGTATGTGTATATAGGTGTGTATGTACAGTGTATATGTATATACACTTATACATATAAGTGTATATGTATATGGGTGTATGTATGTATATGGGTGTGTATGAGTGTGGAAGTGTGTAACAGGTGTGTGTGTGTTGGTGTGTATATGAGTGTGTATGTGTATATGCGTATATGGATGTGCATGTGGCTGCACATATGGGATGCATTACGGGGATGTATATGGGGCTGTGTGTAAGGGGTGTGTTTGGATGGTGTGTGGGTGAATGTACGTGTGTGTGTGTGTGTGTTGTGGGCATGCGTGAGTATATGTATGCATTCATGTATATGTATCTGTGTGTACCTATGTGTCCAGGGAGACTGTGCACTTCTGTCCCGGTGCCCATGAGACCCCTCTGTGTATCTGTCTTCTCCAAATACTGAAACAGCAGACGCAGCCCCTGGGATGCAAGCACCTTACTGGGTGCCTCTTCCCCAGCGGCTCCCACAGGGGACTCACACTCGGGCTAGAGACTGGGTGTCTTTGGTGTGGCTCGGGGGACACGTCCACAGGCGCCTTCCCCCTCCGGCATTGTCTCACATTCCAGGCTGTGATTGACTGTTAGCACCTGATGCTGAGGAGAAAGTCGGGTTCATCATGCAGATTGTTGGTTCTATTAAAAGAAACTCAGAGAAGGGTTTGCTTGTCACCATGGGGATTTTCTGCAGTTGTAATTAGTGATTGGAAGCCCAGTAGGTGTGAAGTCACTGAAAATATGAATAATATCATTCTCCTTAGTCTGAGTTTTTTTTTTAACTTTTTTTGGCCACACCCGGCAATGCTCAGGGGTTCCTCCTGGCTCTGCACTCAGGAATTACTCGTGGTGGTGCTTCGGATGCTGGAACTCGAACCCAGGTCAGCCTCATGCAAGGCAAACCCACTGTACTATCGCTCCAGCCCCCTTATCCTGAATTCTTTTAAAAATCATTTAAAAGATCCCCCATTTAAAAATCATTTGAATGGACCCCCCGCCCTCATTCTCTGTGGGAAGTCCGTGCTGTGGGAGGTGAGGCTCCCGTCTCCACCGATGCATGGACACCATTGACCTCTCGTGGATCCTCTGCAGAGAGGTCTGAGAATTCCTTCTAACTTCCTTATAGCAGTTTCGTCTGGTGTGTGAGTATTCCCAGCTGGTTCTAAAGTAGTGAAAGTGTTTCATCTGCTAGCAGAGATCCATCCCTTCCCAGACATGGCCCAGCAAGCTGCCTCTCCCGAGCCATCTTCCACTCCATTTCCATTTTCGGACAAGTTCCTAGCTCTGTGATGGCGTTTCTTGATCACAGATCTGCCACTCGTCAAGTGCAGGACCTCAGAGATTTAGAGATGGCCAGAGGTGGGGGGTGGGGCACTACAAGGGGCTGGCATGGTTTCACGGAAAGGCCTTGGGATGAGGCCCTTCATACGGACTTTCCCTGGCCTCAGTTCCTTCCTTAGAAGCTGAGGGGCTCCCATGTCAGGTGAAGTTCTGGGTCGCATTCCAGTTTTCTGTTATCAGTTCTTTCAACGTCCCTTTCTTCTAAGCCTTTAGAGTGAGGTGTTTTACCTCTGTGGTAGAGCCCTGGTCAGGGACTGGCTCACCCAGGCTGAGAGAGAATTGGGTGGGCCCGGAGGGAGCAGCATACAGAACCCACCTTTTATCTAAAGACATCTCAGGAGAGATTCATGCCCACAAGTTTGCAGTAAGCAAGAAGTCGAGTAGCTCAGGGTAGTAAGAGATTTTTGGGGAGAGCCTGGGTTGGCCACCAGAAGGGGTGAGGAGAGCAGTGGTCTCAAGCCCTTGGCAGTATCCTGGGCATGGTGGACTCGGGAGCCGCCCTACTCCCAAAGAAGGGACTGAGGTCTTCTCAGGCCAGCTGGGCGGACAGGACACTTCCTCCACCTCTCTCACATGCAGGCGCTGTTCTCCAGGCCCTGTTGCTCTAATGGTCTGAGGCTCCCACCCCTGCACCTTGGCCTGGGGCCCATGCTCTGTGGGGTTCTGGGGGTGGGCTGAGCTTCCGGCAGGCTGCCTCCCTCTGCGGCAGCTGACAGGCCATGGTCGCTCACTGCTCTGCCCCCAGCCAAACCCCAAGCTCAGCGTGGAGAGCATCCCACGACCCCTCCCTCATGGGAGAGCCCCTGGCACTTGGGAAGGGCAGTTGGGAGCCCTGCATTGTCTCAGTTAAAGAAGCAGCTGCCCCAGCCACTCTCCAGCCCCGGGCCTCCTGTCTGTTGTCCAGGCAAGCAAATACTCAGCTTACCATGCAGGGGGCTGGGCAGAGAGTCCATTGGGTTGGGCCGGCCCGGGTTTGGTCCCTAGCAACTTATAGGGTCTTCTGAGCCCTCCAAGATGGATTCCTTAGCACAGAGCCAGGAGTAAGACTTGAGTACCACCAAGTGTGGCCCAAATAACCCCCAAATAATGATAAATAAGAAGTGAGTGTTAGAGTTCATTTCTTCTCTGTGCCTCACCAGTTGCTTGCCCCAGTACCCCAATACACCACCCGTGTATTTAGTACATTTGGAGGAATCACCATAAAATTCCGGTGAACCCTCAGCAGTGCATAGTGGGGTGAGAGGGCACAGGTGCCTTTGGGGTGACTTTTCCAGAAGCATGGGGAAGGCTCCCATTTCTCTGCTCCGATTGGCCCCTGGGGAGACCCCCCTTTTTCTTTTCCTTGACAAAGAACCAATCATTCAGTTTTAGAAGCAACAAACATTGGAGACCAGACTTAAGTGCATGGTGAAACTGGGAAGCTGGTGGGTTAGTCTTGCTTTCTTACTAATTACTATTGTTAGTAAGTGAAGAAAAGGTGTGTATGTCGGGGTAATCAGTTATGTCAACACAATGGACACTGTAAGCAGCTTCTCTAACAAGGTGAAAATCTCTCACTTCCTATATGTAGACAAGTCTGTGTGTGTGTGTGTGTGTGTGTGTGTGCGTGCACACACACACATGCGCACGCATACCTGCTGTGGTGTCTGGGTCATTATCCTGTATGTCCTCATGGTCTGTGAAAATCATTAATAAACATGAAAGTGCCTGACAGGAGTGCTCTGAGTCTCCATGTGTACCTGGGCAGCACATACATGACTTATCAGGTGTACATACATCCCACCTAAACTGTCTCTGTGACCGTTGTGTTGGGGCCCAGGGTGCTTCCATCATGACATCGTGGACTGACAGAGATGCCTATTTCTGACCCTGTGGGAAAGACCAGGCAGCTGCTGGACAGTCAAACACACACACACACACACACACACACACACACACACACACACACTTGGCATGTGCACAGAGAAGCCAAGGACTGACGAATGGGAACTTTCAGCAGAATACTGGAGCATATTTGATCTGTGATGGAGCAGAGACACCCCCCCCCACCGTCTTCCTCCAGGTTTCTCTCTATAAAATGGGGCTAATTGCTCTTTCTAAGACCCTTGGGAGCATGATCTGACACCATGATTTTCAGTTGGCGTGTAACACAAAAAACCTAAAAACTGTTAGTTTTCATCATGCTCAGCTGCACTGTGGCCATCTTCAGGCACAATTCTGATCTCTTGTGGATTCTGGTTCTGCATCCGGCGTCTGGCCCAGAGGTGGTATTTTGTGGCACTGTGTTGGTGGTGCTCCTTCCTTCCTTCCTCCTCATGTAGAGCGCTTGGCTGTGCATGTGTACCCTGCTGAGAAGAGAGGCTCCCTTGGTGGAAAGTGAGGGTTCACCATTGAAAGTTGGGGTAAAAAAAGCATTCCTGGGCTTTTGAGAATGAGCCTTGTTGTAAAGGTGATCAGTAAAATTCAGAAGGACAAATTAGAATTTTTTCTGGAATAATTTACTGAATGAGGGACCCCAAAAGGCCTCTCCACCCTCATCTTCACCCCGTGCCTGTCTTTCCAACAGTGACATGCAGAGCTAACAAAATTCTTTCAAAATTCTAAGACCCACTAGAAGCGTCACTATCTCTAGGATGCCTTGACCTTAAGAGTTAAGCAGCTGGTCGTGCCCAGAAAAGCCCAAAACTTTTAGCAGAAATGTAGGTGCCCTGTAAGCAGGTCAGCAAGGCAGCGTGTAGCTCGTTGCCTTTGAAGACCCACAGATGTGAAATAGGAAACCTTGCTAAAGCGCTGTCTCCTTGTACCTGCAGGTTCCAGAGAGATTCCTGGAAGTTGCGCAGATCACCTTACGAGAATTTTTCAACGCCATTATCGCAGGCAAAGATGTCGACCCTTCCTGGAAGAAGGCCATATACAAGGTCATCTGCAAACTCGACAGTGAAGTTCCCGAGATTTTCAAATCCCCGAACTGCCTGCAAGAGCTGCTTCACGAGTAGGAATCTCAGCGCCTCTTTCTGAATGTATGAAAAGTCGCTGTCCCCCCCCTTGGATGCCCCCCGGTGTACGTGTCTGGACGTTGATTTCCTGTGGCGTGTACGGGAGGCATGGATATGTTATGAAATCAGCTGGTAATTGCCCGATTCCTCCTCCTCCTCCTCCTCCTCACCTTTCTCTCATGTTCTTTCCTTGCCCACTACAGGGGATGGTTCTTTCCCTTTTGCCTTTAGTTCACTTTTGCCCAAGGCCCTTAACATTGGGAGATTTCAAATAGGGTTGATTTTCTGGGACAGAGAAAGTTGGCGTGTGGAAAGGAGATCTAAGTGAGGAAGATGTGCATGAGAGATGCTTCCTCTTGCTCTAGTTCTTGCAAAGAGTAGCAGCTGGCCAGGCCCTCACCAGACAGTGCTGTGCCTCTTCCTCTGGCCGCTGAGATGGCCAGAAAACTCAATGAAACCCTGTCATGAGCTTAACTAGTTTGTTTGGCTTTAAACCCAGTCAAAATCTTTTTCTTCGATGTTTTTAAAACATCACTGATGGCCAACAAATCTTTTGAAAAGTACCTGCCCCCGCCCCCAAGACCAAGATGCAAAAGTTCTGATGAGCCTTTCTTCAGAGAAATGGCCAGCCCCTACCCCAACTCCCAAACTAGCCACACCAACCTCTTCTGGTGGTGAAGCAATTTTGCACAAAATCAGCTCTTTCAAGATGGGACTGGAAATCCCCTTAGTTGCATGGTCAAGTCTCCATCCTGGGTGTCATAGACCTTGGCCCATGGAGCGGTTCTGACCTCGCTTCTGCTTGCTATTTATCATGTTTTAGATATTAAATGACTCCTAAGTTTGAAATGTCCTCTTCACTCGACGTGTCTGTATGCTTACAAGAATTATTATTTGCCTCATTGAACACCTTTTCTTCCCCCACTTTCCAAGTCCCTTTCTGTAGTAAGGAACAGAGACACCGGAACTTGGCTAGGCATTTGTGCCTCTTCTGGAGCATGGGGAAACAGCCCCAGGCTCTCTCATCTCCAGAGGGCCTCGAGGGTTGGAATAAGCCACTTTCGTGGACAATTCCACACCAGCCTGATGAGTATTCAGAGTGGGGCCAGTCAAAGGAAGTGTTTATTCACTTGAATGTTCCTGACTAAGTCTCCTCTTAGCCAGAAGCTAGAGTGACCAAAGCGAGGGATGTAGGTGTAGTATAGCTTGAAGGTTTGGGGGTGCCCGTGGGCCAGATCTCAGCATGCACAGGAAAGCTAGCTGCTGTTCAATGCTTTCTTCCATGGTTCTCCTCCTCCATTTATTTCTTCCTTTCCAGAGGTTTTCAAAAGTCTCTGCATCCCCTACTTGCTTTTGAAGAGTTGTAGGCATTGACACTTCTTGGATCAGCTGGGCAGATGCAGTAAGAATTTCTCATTTATTCAAATAGCATCATAGAACCCTTTTGCTGTTGCTATTTGGATTCACGTGAACCCAATGACTCCATTACAGAGAACCTAAGCACCATTTTCCCCTACCCCAAATTGTCCCCAAGCTCCACTTGACTGGAGCGATGCAGGGTCACCTCTCCATGCAGATTCTCCTTCCTCGGTGGTCAGAGGATCTTTTATGTGGCTTGAAACTCGCTGCTGAACACAACTGGCCAGCATGACTCTTAGCACAAAGCCTTGGATCCTGCTGGCATCAGTGGCACCATCTTTGTACCACTCAGGTGCCATGGACAGAGGACAGTGGTCTGGGCCAAACACCACCACCACTTTGCTTTGTTCAGCGTCAAAACCAGACCCGGCCCAACTCCCTAATCCCATCAGCTTCACTGTGTCCTCATTCTGGCATCTCACTAGAACAAGAATGAAACCATGATGGTCAGATGACCATGACATTGGAATCAAATGCAAACCTCCCCCTGCCAAAAAACAATTCAATCAGTGCACAGTAGGAAAGCAAAGTCTCTGATGTCTCATCCCCATTCCCTGCTCTCAGGGAGCAAGAAGGGGGCCAGCCTTTCTCCCTGGGAGCCAGGGGTCTCTGCTCTCCCTGGAATCAGATCAGCACAGGGTTGCCATTTGCAATAGGCAGGCAAACATGGGGACTTTCACTTACAGACACACTAAAATGGTACCTTTGCAATCTGGAGCAGGTTTGGTTTCCTGACCAAATGTCTTTAGATCTTTCTTTAGTGCTATTCCTCCTTTCTGGTAGAAATTTCATAAGTACCAGAGTGGGCTCATTACTGAATGTTTATGCTCATACCCTCTGCATGTTCCAGAGATCTGGACAAGAACTCAGAGTAGAAACTGAGGCAGCAGGAGAATGTCACCTCTTGGTTCTAGAACTCTCTCCATCACTTTGCTCCTAGGTATTTCCCCCCATTTTGCAATTGGAAAATCTTGTGCCTCCCAGTACCTGAGAAAAGGACAAACACTGAGAGTTCCTAAGTGTACAGGTTTGAGGTGTATATCTTTCAAATCTTCACCCCATTTCCACTGGATGAGATTCATTCTTCTGGAGACAGTTAACTCCCTGACGAGGGGGTATAAAGAATGAGGGATAGTTGACAGGAAAACTCTCAAGTCCATGCTGAAATACCACATTTTCGCTTCCTACTAATCCTAAACTGTTTTTTGTATGTTCACTTGAGGGTATAGTCTGTGCCTAGTCCGAAAACGCACCAGCTGGAGGGATTTTTTTCTTTTAAAGAAATCCTTCAAAATACCAGTTATTTTCCACCGATACAGTTGTCGTTGTGCCTTCTGTGGCTTCTGATTCCATCGTCTGACTTTATTTCCAATTTCTACCGCTGCAATAAACACTGGTTCCTTTCTGGCTGTTGGACATGACATTGATAGCTATGCATACTTTGTGTCTTTTTCAAACAAACCGGAGACTACACTTTTGAAGAAAAGAGTTTTTAAAACAGTTTGATATCACAAATTATTTTTTCCTCAATTGTTTGAGCAGCATTTGAGTTTTGAAAATTCTTGTAGAAGCCAATTTTTTGTAACTGTGGTGCAGATCTTGTGTTTTCTTAGCCTAATGAAAAGTAGTATAGAAGCAATATTTCATGCCCTGTGCTCTAAATGTGTGTGCATGTATGCACACTTACAGATATATACACACGGAAAAACAGACATATATGTTGTGTGTATGACACGCACAGCTTACCTTTCCCTATCTAGATTTGAGGACCTGTTTTAGAGCTTTGTTATGCTTTCTGAAAAGAATGTTCTATTTGCAACAAGAAAATAAGAATTCTTACTGTATCTCTGGCTATTTCATGAGGACACTTTACAATCTGGGGCCAAGCAGCACGGAAGATGATAGAATGTAGTGATTCTTTAAGGAACCATTCACCCACCTACTCCTCAAGTTTGCTTTATACCTGTCTTATTTCATGAAAGGATTTCTTTTGCAGAATCTTTGTTGTGCTAGGGATGTGGGTGAAGAACATTAAAAAAAATTCAAAACAAACAAAAAAAGCAAAAAGAAAAACACGCAAGCAAGAGGGGAACTTTTACAAAGCAATGTAAATATTTCATGCCATAGTCGTTGTTGGGTCCGATCTGGGATCTGAAGACTCACTCTTACCACCTCTGCTGAATTGATCACCAGCTCTCCAGTGACTGTGGAGACACTGGAAGCATTTCTCCTCATCCTACCCTCTCTTTTTAAAAGGGGACATTTGATCCACTGGCAAGTGTGAGGGTAATGTAGCTTTTGTAAATTTATATTTCTTTTTCTATGTACATGAAGACATTTAATGATTAACTCCCTGAACACACACACACACACACACACATACACACACTCATGCACACGCACATGCATACACACAGATACAGACAGACAGACACAGATACAGGTTGCTATTAAGTTGGAAAGATAAAGATTTGGGGGCTTTCAATAGAGAATGTGTCCCCTCCCAAAAGCATCATAAGTAAGTTCATCAAAGAAGAAAAGTGGCCTGCAGACTCCTTGAGAGCCACAGTGTCCCTGTAAAAAGACAGAACCCAACCTGTTTGCCATGTATATTATAGAGTATTCTTCATTGGTGTGGATAGTACACGTTTCCTTCTGGTACAGACTCTGTGTTTGCAGATCCCAAGAAGCATTGTTTTCAAAAAGCTCCCCTTTGAAGACTGTAACTGATTTCTAGGAGTAAGCAGTTCCCGTATTGCACTTAAATGTTATGTTGGAAGAAATGCAATTTTGTTTTTGGTAGATCTGTTGGTTGTAAACCGTCTATAAAACTCTCAGCTGGGATCAGAGGTGGTTTTTCACCTTCTCACCTTCTTCTAATTACCCTTCTAAGATTCTAACAGAACACAGAAGCACGTAGACGGAGTCTTTCCAACTCAGCCCTCTCTGACCCGACGCTCCTGAAAAGCACAGGCGTGAGCGAGAAAGGCAAAGCACGTGCCCCCTTTGGGACAGTGCCACGTTCTGTGCTTTTGAAATATTCTGTTCCTTCCCCTAGGTGGAAAAACACGATGAAATTGTCTATTACTGCTTCAAGATTAAAATGAGAAAAGCAAAGTCTTTGGGCTTGGTTTCAAAAATACCTAGAAGAAACAAAGGCCATGGCGCCCCAATACTGTCCCAGCCATTTCTCATATGTATATAGAATAAACCGTGTCAAAACACTGCCTTTATATTATTTAGCAATATGTTGTAAATAGCATTAAGCTCTTTTTTTTTGTAATAAAGACCCTTTGATTTGAATATAGTACAATAACTGAACTGATACAGTCAATTTTGGGGTTTTGTTGTTGTTTTTTTTTAAAGCTAGAGGCAATTTCAATTGTGGAATTTTTTGTTGTTGTTGTCTATTGTTCTGAAGACTTTGCATAATTTATTGGTTTAATTTATCCTAATTTATTTGATGAAGGTGTACAATTTTGTATTACCAAGGATGTACTGTAATATTAATTGATATGATAAAAAAAATGAGACTCCCTGTCCATATTTAAAAAGAAACTAAAAAGGTGCAGTAGACAATTGATTTTGAAGTCAAAATGAAAAAATGTAGTTTGGCAGCTACTAAATATTAAAACAGGAAACAAAATATGCTGGGGGGCGGGGGTGGGTTTCCTTTGTGTGTTTGAAGCTTTTGTATGACTCTCCCAACTCCGACCTTTGCTTTGTACCACTAAGAGGATACAGTAGTGGGATCGCCTTCTGTGCCTTCCATCTTCTCTTAAACTGAATGTATGTGCGTATATATGCAAGCTTGTGCAAAATAAAATAGACATGACAAGCTCAGTGCCATTGGCCTTTCTTCAAGCACGGGACACTTAGGGACGGGAAGATGGCTCAAAAGGCTTAGTTTGTCACCCCAGGGCTCCCCCCAGCATCACTGGGTGTGGCTCTGGTGGCATCCAGCACCCACAGAGCCAGGCATTGATCCTTCTAGTCCCGTTGGCCAAGATCGCTGACCTGGTCTTTGGGCCCTTGCACACAGCCTGGGGACCCCTATAAGCTACAAACGAAATCTGACCTGACACTCGCCTTTGGACATATGCTCTTTGGAAGCCTGGTGCCATCCACAGGGGACATATTTTCTTCTTTTTCCTGTCCTTACCTCGCTTCCTCATGCCCATGGAGTGCTGGTGGAGATGACAGCCCCCAAGCCCTGCATTGAGGCAATGTCTCTCCTGAAACCTCCGCTCGGCACACAGCACTTCCTGGCAGCACCAGGACACACACAGAAAGACCATCCACCCGTGGGCGACACCCTCGGTTCAGGTTGAAGTAATTTCTGTGGTTGCAAAGGTCTTTGTGTCCCCACACCCCCAAACCCTGGGCCAGGGTTCGACTTGGCATCTGGGGTCTGAGCTGCTGGTTTCTACTCTGGAAGGACCCAGGCTGCAGGATGGTGATGAACATTCTGCGTCTTTCTCACAGGCTCCGTGAGATGGGCGGGGCCCAGGTTTGAGATGGAGAACACAAGCTCTCCATCGTGTGAGCTCTCACACGACCCTTTCCCTCTGTCGCTTTGTTCTCCTCACACAGGTGCCTGGGGAAGGAGAGGACCCCACATCCTTCCTGGGATAGCTGGTTCAAACCCCATTTGCAGCTGCGCCCACTCCACATCTTTCATTCTGTAGCCCAAGCCATCCTCAGGGCTTAGACTTCTTTTTGGACTTCCTTCTACATTATGATGGTTTCCTTGTGTGTATGTGTATAGGTGGGTGGGGAGGGGCAAGGGGTGTTGGGCCACACTCGGGGATTATTCCTGAGTCTGTGCTCAGGGACCACAGCTGGTGCCAGAGTTTTAATTCAGGATCGTGAGGTTAAAGTCCTTAGCCTCTGTGCTGTCTCTCTGGCCCGACACTTTTAGATTTTTGACTCTCTGGGTCTAAAACCTCAGAGCTTTACATTCCCAAAGCCGTGCAGTCCTTGTGCTGTTGGTGCTCTGGGAGCCCTTTCCCTGCATGACACTCGGGACATTCCAGGTTTCCTCACCAACTGTGTAAAAGAACATGCCTGTTTCCTTGTGCCCAAGTCATTGTGCCCTGATTGGAAGGGGGCAGAGGAAAGATGTTCCTTCCCTTCACGGCCCTGCTCTGAAGGCAGGAAGACTGTGCAGGAAGGGCAGAAGGCGCCAATCTTTGGGCCTCCTCTGTACTGGGCTGCTCTCAGCCAGGTTGGGCCCACATCTCGCACGCACTGTGGCATGTGTCTGTCTACTCTCACACACAGAGCATCTTGTGATTCTCTTGCTGCTTCTACCTTTCCTGGAAGCATGGGCAGAATCACAGGTCCCCTTCCTGAGCCCAGACCCCCATCAGGGACGCAGATGCCCCGAGCTGTGTCTATACTAAGTTTACCCAATCAAGAGGGGAAGGGCACTTCTTTTTAGGATCCTTTCCCCAGAAACATGGTGAATGCTACTTAAAGCCTCTGCTTAAAGGTAGTCTAGAAAGATATGAAGGGAAGGGACAGGTACTCTTCAGTAAAGCTCAATAAACGCACTAGGAGATGGGGCAGTGGTTGGGTCTCATTCCTGAGAAATGCTCGACCTGAATTCAGTTCCCAACACTATATGTGGGACAGGAGGTCCTGAGTACCACGGGATACAGCCCTAGAAGCCCTGAGTGCCACCATGTGTGGTGGTTTGGCCCTGGAGGCCCCTAAGAGAGCCCCCTGGGAGCTCTGTGGCAGGGTTCAGAGGAAGGGTCTGAGGCCACACATTGCTGCCCACCACAGAGCTTCCCTGCGGTCTGTCCAGCAGCAAAGCTGCCTTTCTGAGCCATCTGTGTCATGACCTGTGAGCAAATCACTTCCCCTGACGGTGTGTCTGCACTTCAGGGTGGGCCCAGGTGGGTCAAAGGCTTCCTCGACCCTCCATCACCCTTTCTATTTCCCTAGCTTCCTGGCTTGTTGGACTTCCTGAAGAGAGCGGGTGGGCAGGGCTCAGTCAGGAACTATCGGCCGATCTGTGGGGTCCTCCTCCTCCATCCCACAGGCAGTGTGGGATGCCTAGGAGGAAAGATGAACTAAAAAACATGAGATGCCTGGACAGGAGGACAGATCATGTTCTGGAACCTTCCAGGGCTCTCTGCTCAGCCAGCGGCCAGCCCTTGCAACAACAGCAGCAGTGCCAGACCCTCCTGCTGGGAGCGCTGCTCAGACCCCAAGACTTCCCCTCGAGGACCTGCAGCACCCAGCCTTGAGCTTGTCACCCACACGTTGCTTTCAGCTGTGATATAAGGACGGGCCCCTGCTCACCATACCATCCCAACTTCTTGAAGAAGACCCACGTTCTCTGTGGTCAACCCAGGTTGGAGCCCCACCTTGCATGGGGACCCCTCACCCCAGGAAAAGGAGACATGTCCTCACACATTCCCATGCCTAAACTCTGTTCTTGGCCACAGACCTAGGGGGTGGAGGCTGCAGTCGGAAGCATGGGGTGCCCCTAGCAAGGAGCTGGGCACCTCCAAGAGAAGTTGCCACATCCACGCTGCGTCAGCACCCCCCCCCCCACACACACACACAGCTCCACTTGGGGGGTCGTGTTTGCCAAGCCCCCTGCTGCGTGCTTAGGTGCTAGGAGACAAGCTCAGGAGAGTTTGGCAATCACCCTGGAAAAAAATGCCCTGTCTTTGCAAATAAATCTGCCTGGGGGGGGGGGGGGGAGGGACTCCGGATTTCCCCGCATCTGTGCAAATTGTGATCTGTGCACAGTGGCTACCGGAAACTCTACTTCTAGCTGTGCACACCACTCTGGACTTGTCATTGCTTCTGTGGTGTCCTGCTGAGAAAAGCCTCCCACGCTCTCTCCACCTCTCCCAGGGGGCCAGGGATGCCAGAGCTCCAACAGGGGCTTTGTGGTTCTCCAAAATGCCCCTTCCCAGTGCGAGAGTGAGAGGAGGGCTGTATGTAACGAAGCACACAACGCTCTCTAAAGCACACATGACACACATTCGTACATGCACACATGTACACACATAGACCATACAGGCACACTCATGCCCTCTTACACATATTCAATTGCAGTGGCATACAGATGCACTCATGCATGCATATATTCACACACACTGCACACACATGTTCTCATGCACACTCATACACACTGCACACACAATCTCATGTATGTGCACACACTGCACACATACTCATGTACACACACATTCACACACACTGAATACACATACTCTTACAGACAGATTCACACACATAAGCACACATGCTCTATCATACACACACACACATACATGACCACACACTCATGTACATGCACACACTCATACACATTGCTCACATGCTCTCATGTACACACATTCACACACACGGCACACACATGCTTTCACATACACACATTCACACACAATGCACACACATGCTCATGCACACTTACACACTCACATTCTCACATTGCACACTGAAACACACTCACACTCACACTGGGAAAGGCATCAGCGTCCTGGAAAAAAGACAAGAATAATTTCTCAGTCTCCACCCATCTTACCTAAAAATTTGTTCAATGTACACTTCTCCCCTGCCTACAAGATTTCAGAGAAACGGATCCATTCCAAATAAAATCAAGATCCAAACTTATTCTTGAAGTCAAACCATTGTCATCCAGTCAATGCGAGAGAAGGGCTGACAAGATTAGGGAGAGATAGTGTCCTGTCTCCTCTCAAAGGTACTGAGCCTTTGTCATTTTATGAGTGACCTCCAATCAAAATTCAAAAATAGATCATGACCTAAGCAGTTTGGACCACAGACAGATCTGAACATATCAGCACACAAAATCTATGTCTGTGCATTGTACGTGCATATTACCACTTCATTTTCTGAAGCTCATATTTCTTACTACAAGCATGACACTTAAATAAAATAGAATATGATCTAGAATAATGATGAGTTAAATTCTATGCTACCAACAAAGACATTTAGTTACTGTTAGCTAAGGGAGTGGAGGAAGGGCTGGGCTTTACTTCCAAGTGGACAGCCAGGTGTAACAGCAGCAAATTGTCCACACAGGTAAAGTTGAGGAACTGTGTTGCTTAACCCCACAACTGTGGTGCTCAGGGCTTATTCCTGGCCCTGTGCTCAGGGATCACATCTGGTGGGACTCGGGACCATATGTGGTGCCTGGAGTTGGCTGTGTGCAGGGCCAGGCCCGGACCCTTGGACTCTCTCTCCAGCCTACTTGATGCCTTCTTGAGGAACACTTAGCTTGGAGAGACCTGAACCCCAAAATGACTGCTTCCTCTCAGGACCCGGAGCCCCCAGTCTTTCAGGTGGGTGTTCTGATTTGATTCTGACCTGGCAATGTTGAGGTCACATGGTTGTTGGGATTTAAGCCAGGTCCTGGGCATGCCACACTAGGCCCAGCCCTCAGAGATGGGTCCCAAACCTGGATGCTTTCTCAGTGTCTCTGTGTGGTGAGTTGTAATTTGGATTTTGACCCTATATCCTAAATTCATCAACCGGTGAGGAGATAAACTGTATGAATCACACAAGGGATGCTATCTGATAATTAAAAAGGATGAAAACAGATAGGAGCAGTCAGAGACAGGAGAAACGGGAGGCAGGAAGAACAAAACGTTTGCCTTGCACACAGCCAACATGGCCGACCCGAGTTCGATTCCTCCGCCCCTCTCAGAGAGCCCGGCAAGCTACTGAGAGTATCTCGCCCACATGGCAAAGCCTGGCAAGCTCCCCATGACGTATTCCATATGCCAAACACAGTAACAACAAGTCTCAAAAATGGAGACGTTACTGGGCCTGCTCAAGCAAATCGATTAA